TGGTTAAAATTTAGTAAATATATAAAAAAATAAATATATTGATCGAAACTTACATCTTTTGCTTGCTCTAGCAACCAGTTCTTTGCCGATGTGGCATTAGTTATGGTCTCTTGCGTCGTGAATGTTTTCGAGGCAACAATAAAAAGCGTTGTCTCATAGTTAACCCGTTTTAGTACCTCTGCCATATGTGTTCCGTCAATATTTGAAACGAAATGGGAGTGCAAGCCCTTGCAATAAGGCTTGAGTGCTTCAGTTACCATCAAAGGTCCCAAATCGGAGCCGCCAATGCCAATGTTAACCACATCGGTGATTTGCTTGCCGGTACAGCCCCGCCAGACGCCTGAGATAACTTGATTGGTGAACTCCTTCATGTGGGATAATTCAGCCCGCACTAACGGCATGACATCATTACCATCGACAAGGATTGGCTCATTTCCGCGATTTCGTAGTGCAACATGGAGTACGGCTCGATTTTCTGTAATATTAATGGGCTCTCCAGAGAACATGGCGTCGCGCGCTTGCGTTACCTTACGTGATTTCGCCAAGTCAAATAACAAAGGCCACACGTCCTCTGTAATGCGATTTTTTGAATAGTCAATCAATATCTCGCCATCATTGGGTGTCTTCAGACGCAGACTAAATAATCCAAATATAACAAATTATGAAAGGAAATTTTTATTGAATCATATTTTTAATTGTGTTAATAATAGACTATTAATGTACAAATATGTATATCTAATATGTATGTACATATGTACATCTATATGTATATAGTATATGTATATATGCATTTAGTAGAAAATTTAAAAACCGACATATCGTTAGCATATAGTGAAAAGTCATATGTTGTTATAGAGAAAATAAAAGTACATCGCTTACAAATGGACTTTTCACTATTAGCTAGCGATGTGTACAATAACATGCATACAAACATAAGAAGGAAAACCTAGTTTTTTGCGAATATATGAACAATTACATACATATATGAATACTTATGGAAAGATTTTTCATGCTAGACATTCCTGGTTGATTTCTTATTAAAATATGATTTATATTTTAACAATCGCCCTTTCGCTACTGCAGGGACACTGGTGTCCCACGGAATGTTCATTTGACTCTGAAAATCGCAATTTGTATTGTAAACTCAACCAAAATGTCCCAGTCAGTAGCTAGGAACAATGTTTGCAATCTACCGTTATCCACGTTACATACAACTTCGCTCGTGTTTTGTTTTGTTCAGTTGGTTGAGAGCAGAGACTGCCGTCGGATAAAATTCACGCTTAATTTTTAAAAAAGAATACGCATATTTCAAAGTGGTGGTGATATTTGGATAACAAAATTCTGTACATATAGCGGTAAGTAGAAAAATATATTTTGAAAAGTGTTTTGTAAAAAATAGTCGAAGAAAATAAATCTTGGAACGTATGTGTCCCAACCGGGTTTTATAGTGGGACATATGTATATAAACCAGCAGTACGTTGTACACCATTTGCCATACAGTTATTTTTTTCCTTTGCGATTTTGTAGACTGAAAAAATGACCAAATTGGATAGCGAAGAAATAAGTGCATTACTTCAAGAAGACGACGATGAGATCAGTGAATCGGGTACTGATTTCAGTGACGGAAGTGATGATATTTATAGTCCTTCGTCCGAAAAAGGCATTGGCACTGATGATTCTGCTAGTGATGCTGAAGATAGCCAATTGAGTGACAAGGGGACATCAGTCTCGAATGATGGTATAGGCGATCAACCTATGCGCGCAGAAGCTGTATATGATGATCCTTTAGCCACGTTTGTTTGGAGCACACCGGACGAGTCGTTCATTCCAAGGAAATCAGTTACTAGTCACCGCAAATGCAAAATCGCGCAGAAAATATTGCACATCACTCAACACCCTATGAAATTTTTCGCAAATTATTTCCAAGAAGCATGTCTTTGTACATCGCCCAGTGCACCAACGAGAGACTCAGGAAACTACCGCTATCGGGACAAAGCGGAAAAAACTTCTTCAAACCGACTCCGGCGAAATCGATATAATACTTGGATGTATGTTTATCATGTCCTATAACCACGTGCCATCTATATAGGACTACCTACTGGTCGAATCATTATTCATTGAGCAACAAATCTATAAAATCAGCCATATCACGTGATCGTTTTGAACAGATAATGTCTAAGCTATATTTCGCTCCTGTTGAAAACCCTACAGATGCAGGAAAAAACTATTATATAGATGACTTCATAAATCGCTTGAAAAAAACTTTCAAAGTTTGTCGCAAATGTGGCTTCGCTGCGATTCTCTGAGTGAATACACCTATGTCATGAATATTTACAGTGGAAATGAAGGATCTGGACTTGAAGGAACACTCGGCGAACGAATTGTGAATGATCTTGCAGCAACGATTTCGAACCGCGACGTGACACTTTGCTTTGATCGTTTCTTCACCTCTGTGCATCTCATTAACAACATACAATATCCAGCGTTGGAACATACATGTCCAATCGGAAGAATGTCCCGAAAATGCCTGAGAAGTTGCAGCGAGGCGAATCCATTTTCAAAGTCAATTTGGCAGGT